GCTCCCCTCCTCCTCCTCCTCCTCCTCGGAGCGGGCGGGAAACGCGGTGCTGGAGGGCTCCTGAGGCCTCGTGTCGTTGGCAGGAGGCTGGCTGGGAGATGCTTGTTCGAAGTGAAAGAAGCCGGGGTTTCTGCATTACTGAGGGAAATAAGTGGTTGTTTCTCGCAGTGCCTTCGCAGGCTAAACCGACTTTGTGCTGTGGGCAGTGATTGAATGTCTGAATTGTCTGCACATACCCGCTCAGATGTTTGTGGAGTTGAGAACAATAGTGCTATTGACCAGGGTCACGGTCTTTTGTAAAATTTGGAGCTATTCAGGGACCGGGGCTTTCTGTCCAGGGCCTACTTGTCCATCCGTGACAGGAGCAAATGGAAGTGAGGGTCACCTAACCTGGTGGCTCACACACCATCTGCTATGTTATGGGGGAAAAACCCAAATGAACCTCGGCAGGGCTTTGCAGTGTTGGATGTGAGCAGCTCTCTGGCAGGTCTTTTTTCCCTGTTGCCATCATTTGAGGGGCTATAAAGAACTTGGATTTTTAATCCTTCTGCTTTAGCAGGTATCAATACACTTGAGCAGTCTCTCTGTTAAACTTCCATAAGGTCAGTCCCACACAGCATCAGAATTAATGAGGAATTCTTGGAGCTGTAGCTGAATATTGCCTTAGCCTGCTGACATCAGGGAGGAGTGCACACTAATGTGGTAGAGGATTGCATAATGTTTGGCTGTATCAGTGTAATTAAAGATGCTCTATCTTAGTTGGTAGAAGAAGAGGGTGGGAATCTGGCTTTGCTTTTTGATGATCTTCTTAATGGTACTTTTTGCCCTTTCAGATAACAAGCTGCTGGAGAAGTCAGACCTTCATGCAGTGCTGGCTGATAAGCTTCAAGCAGAAAAATATGACATGCAGAGCAGACATGAGATCAGGTATGTGAAATTCCTTTGCTGTCAGTCAGCTGTCTGTCATGCACACTGTAACCTAAACCATTGTTTGATGCATTGTATAAACAACCTGAAGGTTACTACAGTCACTTAAAACAAACTGGGAGATTTTTTTGAGCTGAAAATAACTAGTTCTAAATATTTGGTAAGGTTACAATAGATTTACAGCGTACAGTGGGGAAATATCTGGCTAAGTTTTGGATAGAAATTAATTTATCAGAGACTCAGGGTGTGAGGGTGGACCAGAGTGAGGTAGCCTTGTGAAGCTTATAGTGCTTGCCTGGTGTTGGCTGGTAATGGTTATGGTGTGACTCTTGAAATTGTTCAATCTTAGGAACATTGCAGTGCAGGAAGAAGCTCACCTCTTAGTGTCTTTCATTCTGTGTCCTCACCTGGAAGAGGAGAATGGAGAAAATCATGATTCTGAAATGTCAGTCCTAAATAAGCACCATACACTAAAAAGAGTGTGTCTTCTGCCTGGTTTTGGCAGGATTTTTTCAGGAAGCTTCCTCTAACCTGGGAATGACACTCTAGTGCTGCAGGCAAGGGTCATGCTGCTTATTCTGTTGGCATTTGAATCCACAGCTAACCAGGATGCTGGTAGTGTGTCCTGTGTCTGGACAGCATGTAAATCCCAGCAGGTAAAGGCTGTTGGGTTCTGCTAGCTGAAGAAAAGGCTGGGCTAAGTAGTGCAGAATTTCCTCCTCCTTCAGGAATTGCTTCCTCTCTTTTACCTCTCTTTGCTACCTAATGCAAAACTCTCTGTCTGTGTCTAATTTGAATACAAACCAAGCTACTCTGTACTGTTACTAGTAAGGAAAGAAGTTCTACAGGAGTTGCAGGCAAAATGTCAGCATTTGGCCAGCAGGCTGGACTTAACACCCATGTGAAAGTTCTCAAGAGCTTTTTGGTGAGTGCACTTGTTGCAAGCCATCTTTAGTTATGGGAATCTGATTTTGGTAGCACACCTACCCTAAGAGATGAGGCTGGAGTAGGTGAGGATGTGAAGGAATACACAGAAACAGCACCTTCAAAGTTGTGGCTAGAGAGGTTTGCATGAGTTCTAGGGTGAGTTGGATACTACTAATGGCTTCCTATTTGTTTTGACACAGTTTTTTGGACTTTCAGTGTGTTCTAGTGTAGCCTGAAGTGTGCATTAGCTCTTTTTGAGAAGAGCATTAAGTTACAGACACCATTTTGAGACCTTTCAGCTTCTGTCTCTATCATGTGTTTGTGGGTGGACTGCTGTAATGCAGAGTGCCTGTAGAAACAGATGCTTGCAATCCCCTCCTTCTGTCTGCCTGCTATAGTAGTCATGCATTTAAAATTATTTCTTCTAGAAGTTGTAATTCAGAGTACTGCTGTGAGCTTACTCAAAGTCTCTGTGATATGTGTATGCTTTTAAAATTGGACTTCTCTTCATGTCTCTGCTTTTCAAGACACAAGTGATAGACATTGCAGTGGTGTCTGTATGGGGGTGAGGTGTGTGTTCTGCTGCTTGATTCCCTGGCTGTTGGTTTTGTGCCCTGTTTTATGCTTTCTGCAGATCTGTAGCATCTTCAAGGTCCACCAGCTCCCTCCAAAACTAATTTGAGGTGGTAAAATACTTGTCATACTTCCAGAATTTGGAGAGTGTACTTTTAAAACGCAGTTGTCTTCATGCAAAATTAAGCAAAGGCTAGTTAACTTTAATTTCAGTTTGAATCCTGTTTTAGAAAGGGACAAAACAGTGAATTGAGCCCTCAGTGTATTTAATTTTAGAGTACTATATAATGGTGTTGTGGGGGAGAGCTGTGGTTTAGTTGATGTATGACCTGTGTCTCTGATGTAGTATGGAAAATGCAGGGGAGGCAATATCCTGAGGCTGTCAAAGGCACAGAAGCAGCTGGATTTTAATGTGTGACATCTCTTCTTCCCCTCTCTCCCAAACTGCAGCCCAGGACACGAGGGCACATGGAACGATGCTCAGCTGCAGGAGCTGGCACAGCTGAAGATCAAGCACCAGGAGGAGCTGACAGAGCTGCATAAGAAACGTGGCGAGGTCAGGAGGTCCTCTCCTGGGCTGGATGGTCCAGACCTGGCTCTTTGTGGACGTGACCTTAATTTTACCCAGCGTGGTTTAGTTGATGTATGACCTGTGTCTCTGATGTAGTATGGAAAATGCAATGTCCTGAGGCTGTCAGAGGCACAGAAGCAGTTGGAATTTAGTGTCTGACATCTCTTCTTCCCCTCTCTCCCAAACTGCAGCCCAGGACACGAGGGCACATGGAACGATGCTCAGCTGCAGGAGCTGGCACAGCTGAAGATCAAGCACCAGGAGGAGCTGACAGAGCTGCATAAGAAACGTGGCGAGGTCAGGAGGTCCTCTCCTGGGCTGGATGGTCCAGACCTGGCTCTTTGTGCACGTGACCTTAATTTTACCCAGCTTATTCATCATCATTTTTTCCTCGTTGTGTGTTCAGCCTTTTTAAGCTTCCCATGATGATGATTAAAATAAACCAGAGATGGTTGTTCTTCAAAACTGACAGTCAGGAGATAAGGACTTCAGTTTTTGGCATAGTGTGATTTCTAGGTGCTTAATTTTTAGCTTTTTAACTGTATTTATTGGAGGAGGAAGGAACTGATTCAGTTTAGGTGCATGACCATTGGTTCTACACAGAAAAGACTTTGAATGATAGAATAGGTGGCTCTGTGAGGTTTCCTTTGTCTCACCTTGCAGGACCACTGCTGTAAAAGAATGGACCAAATAAGCACAAGCAAAGGTTGAGAGTGCCATGGTCTTAGACTGAAAAGGGTTCTGCCAAGTAGATGCAGTAGGGAGCCAGGAGTCCTGTAAGCTACAACATTTGGGCCTGGAAGAGAGGGAAAACCACCTAGTTGGAGGATTTTCTTGGACAGGAAGATGTGGAGGCTTCCTCAGGACAATTGGGTGTTTAAAAACCACAGCAGTGAGTCCAGGAGCTAGTACCTGAGTGGCACTGCAGGCTCTTACAGGAAGGTGTGACCTGGAGAACGTGGTCAAAGGCAGCATGGTAACACCTCACTGGAGTTGTACACAGTAATTCTGAGCTTTTCAAAGAGGTGTGCACTGACCAAAGCACTAAAAATTCCTTCTCTCCCCCCAGGCTGGTATCCCAGGCAGGCACTCTTCCCCACACTCAGCCTTCCCTCTGCCCAGGCAGCTGGGGCTCTGCCTGCCATGGGGCCTGCTGCTGCTTGCTGAGCAAGCCTCTGAGCTGGCAGCAGCAGCTCATTAGTGGTGCCCTCTGCCCCTCTATTTCCTGTGTGCTGCAGAGACTCCACCAGCAGCTTTTCTTGTGGGAACACTCTGCCTGAAACCTGTGTTTACAGTGTGAGCTACGTGTCTCCTGTCATGCCTCTCCTGGCTGTAACAGGGAGATTTGTTGCTTGGTTATTGGCACTCATGTGCTATTTTATTTGGCAATTTTTAGTTTCTATACTGACTTTTTTTCCATGACTTCAAAAGATTTTCTTTTTTTTTTTCCCCTGACTTTAAAAAATAAAATTTCTTCCTAAAGCACTCATCTGTTGGTTTACTTGGCAATATTTAGTTTCTATATTGATTTTTTTTTCCCATGACTTCAAAAGATTTTTTTTCCCCCCCCCGACTTTAAAAAATAAAATTTCTTCCTAATATGCATTCTGTTTGATATGACTTTAATGAAACTTTTTGAGGGATGTGAGATATCAAAGGGCAGTAATTTTGAGACAGCTCATTTTTGAAAGTGGATTCCCTGAGTCAATGACCCACGTGATAGGGGCAGTGAACAGATCTGCTCAGAAAGCTGTGAAGGAAGATCTGAAAGGTGTGCTGCAGGCTTGCAGTGTTAGATCAGTCTGTGCTCCTGCTGGTTGCTGCCCAGTGTGTTACCCAGCTGGCATCCCTGCATTCTGAAATGTCATTTTCTCCTCTCCCTAGCTGGCCCAATCTGTAATTGATCTGAACAACCAAATGCAGCAGAAGGACAAAGAGATGCAGATGAATGAAGCAAAGTGAGTAGGAACTTCTTTTGTCTGTGGTTGGTATGAGACCCAGACTTCTGGTTGAATTATTTATTAGTGTTATAATACTTGCTAGGAGTCCTAGCCAAGGGCTAAGAGCTCCTTTGTTAGGCCTTGTACAAACAGCACAAAGATGGTGCAGGTCCCAGAGGAGATCCTCATTGTTTTGTGTATTTTGCTGCCATCCCAGGATTGCAGAATATTTGCAGAAGATCTCTGAACTGGAAACAGAGTGCCAGGAGTTGAGGAGCAAGCTGCAGGACCTCGAGAGAGCCAATCAGACACTGAAAGATGAGTATGATGCTCTCCAGATCACCTTCAATGCCTTGGAGGAGAAGCTGAGGAAAACTACTGAGGACAACCAGGAGCTGGTCTCACGTTGGATGGCAGAGAAGGCACAAGAAGCCAATCGTTTGAATGCTGAGAATGAAAAGGATTCAAGGTGAGACTGATAACCTCTGTCTGATAAACTACTTCCCAATAGATTTGTGGATATTTAAGAGTACATAGGATAAAACCAGATTTAGTTTTGACCTCTGTGTTCTTGCACAACACAATGAGAAGCCCAGAACTTTGTGTTCCTCCTTCTGGCCAATGCAGACAGATGCTTTGTGAAAACATTCCTGTCTTTTAAATTAAAAAAACATGTTCTTTTGTTTCTTGAGCAACATTTAATTGTGGCCTGAAGATCATAAATCAGATAGAAACTGGATTATTTTTTTACTAGTACTAGATTTGGACTTCTGTTGTTAATACTGTATCTTGATATTACTCCTAGTTTTATCCTTTTTTGGCTTAACCAGCTGAATTGTTTGTTGCATTCTGCTAAAAGGAGTAGCTGCCATGCAACTGGGCTGTGCATAACTTGCAAAAATAAGTTGGTATGGGTTTTTTTTTTCCCTTTGAAGAATAATAAATTTTGTTCTGAATTGCTTCAGCTTACTTGCCAGCTAATAATATCTGGAGGCTGAGAGCCATAATACAAATCTGTTAGTACTTCATAGTTTTGTTATATTTACTAACAAAATCATTATTTTTGCAAGTTTTTGCACTCCATATGGGTCACAAAGGGCTATAGGTACTCTGTCTTATTGCCTCACTTGACTGATCTTGTCCTTTGCTCTTCCCAGTAAGAAAACTGCCTCTCATGCACCATGTCTTGAAAAGCAGGGTAAAATTAGGCTGTGATCTGCTTTATTATTCATTTAAATCTCATGAAGCCCATCAAAACTGTGCAGGGGAACCTCTGGCATAGGACTAAGGAAGTTTTTGTTAAAATAAACTTGTTTTCTTTCTCTCAGGAGACGACAAGCCAGGCTGCAGAAGGAGCTAGCAGAAGCTGCCAAAGAACCCCTGCCTGTGGAACCGTAAGAGCCTTGATTTACAGAGCCTGCTTCACCACCTCATGCTGGGTTTGATGGGGATGCATGACAAATGATATCTTTATTGCTAAATTTGGTGATCTAGAGGAGCTTTTAAACATTGGTGTGAAGTCAAAACTGTACAGAAACTCTCCCTGCTTGAACTTCCAGAAGAAGGAACTCTGTTAGGACTAAAAATAGATGCCAGGACTGAAAGTCCTGAGAATGGTTCATACAGTGAATATATATTATTATCTCAGCATAAAAACATCTGTTATGTGGTGCCTCTGGTCTCCAAAACAGTTCTTCAATCATGAAACAATATGTTTGGGAGATGCCTGCTTTTTTAGGTGTTAGACTACAACTGTGTTCTAGGATCTCCTGTAGGAACAGGTACTGAGTCAGTTAAGGTGGGTGAAAGTATAATGATCACTTCCATACTTGGGGAGATTTGTACTGCAGGAAAATACAGTTTAAATGCTTCTTTTCCCTTAGCTTGTTGAGGTGTGACTCTCCATGACAAGATTACTGCTGACCTCTGAGTCCCAGGCCTGGGGACAGTCCCAGGGCCAAGGACAGTCTTCCCAGCTCATAAAAAAACTGATGGTTTTGGCTCCTTCTTTCTGATTTTTGTAATTTGAGGGTTTGTGTTGTAGATGTGCTGCTTACTGAAGAGGAAAATTGCAGCATTTCAAGGAGTGTGTCCTGGTGTTCACCTTAAAAATATGTTAATGTTGAAAGATCTTTTGCTACATACAGTTTTAATAGCTCAGACTTCAGATTTTAGGACAAAAAGCAGAACTTGATAGTGTTTTACTAAAATATCAGCCTGATACTTGATGTTTATTCCTACTTAAATCCTGAATTTAAACTTCCTGTTCAGTGAGATGGCATCAGGTTGATAGAGTGTGTTTAAAAATAGTTTGTCCTGCAAAATCAGCAGTGGAGGAAAAACCATCATTGAAGGAAAAAAATGCTAAACTGTTGGAGCCCATGATGACTAACAGGGAAAAAGCTTTCAGCCTTAGCTGAGCAGTTTAGCTGCTTCATTTGTGGTGCATGTATTAACTTCACACTTCCTTTCAGTCCTACACCAACACTTGAAGGAGCTGAATCAAAACATCAGTTGTACTTCATGGAGCAGCACCTGAAGTATAACATAGAAAGTATCAGGATGGCTTTGGTGTGAATGAAGAAGGAAAAATCAAATTCTTGTGCTTTTTGGGGTTTTTTTTAAATGCTTCATTTTGGAACATCATAAAAGGGGCTGTGAAAACAGGGTATCACCTGTATTTAGGGTTGCAGTAACTCATGTTTTTGCTGTTCTGTAGCTGTTCCAGCAAATGTAGTTCACTTTGGAGCAAAGCCTTGCTCAGCTGTGAGGTATCATTAGAGTGCTGTACGTGTGGTGCTGCAAGCTGAAATAGAATGCCTGCAGTAGAGAGAATCTGGAAGGGATGCCTGGCAGCATAAATGTGGGAGGAGAAGGGAAATCCAGCCCTGTTGTCAGTGAAAAGTGTAGTTGGGAGCTGGAAATGGAAAAAAAGCAATGTGGTGTCTGGCAGAGACAGGTCAGTGTTTGCTGGCCAGGTCTACATGCATGTCACAGGCAGACAGCCCCTGCAAGTGTTGTCCACCCAGCTGACAGAGAGGAGTGGGTGGTTGAAAATGAAGTGTTGTCTCTCACTTCAGCAGGGATGATGACATCGAGGTGCTGGCAGATGAAACCCCTGAGCCAGCTGAGGAGAGCTCTCCAGTGAGGACCGTCAGCCGCACAGCCAGGTGTGTACCCCTGCAGAAGGTCACCATGCCACTGAGGAGGGACCAGGGGTGTGAGAGAGCTGCAGCAGTGCTGGGAATGTTTCTGAGGGTTTTTATTTGCCTGTAGCCTGCAGCAGAGTTTAGCACTTCCACCAGAGCAGCATGAAACTCTTTATGTTGTGTTCTCTTTAGATAGACTGGATTTATTTCGCTGTTTTAACTCAGTTACTGGAGTCTGAAAAATCTGTGTTTAATCTTAAAAGTTTGAGCACAAAATGGGTAATAACATAGATATTGCAGTGCCTGTTGTGTTATGCCTCAGGGTAATAACATAGATATTGCAGTGCCTGTTGTGTTGTGTTATGCCTCAGTTGTTACATGAGGTATAAACCTGACTTTGCACATGGTTGGGGTTTTGGATTTAGCTGAAATGCTGAAAATAATCTTCACCTAGATTAAATGCATCTTTTTCTTTCTCTAAAATAGCAGTGAGTGGAAAGTAAGAGGTAGTTACATGAGAGCACAGATGAATCTGGTTGAAACTTCAGTCTTGGCAGACTGTTGCATCTAAACCCAGTAATTGAGAGGGTGGAGGTTGAGGGCAGTTGAAGAAACTTCACTCACAAATTATGTTCTGAGTTGTAGTTAACTGGTGACTTTGGAACTGATGCCTGCCTTTGGTGTTTTCTGTCTTTGGACTGGGTCTGCAGGGGAGGGAGTCTGTCCAGAGACTTGTTGCTATGAAATGTGTTTGTGTTGATCTTTGTGTGGAGAAGCTATTCACCAGGTTTAAACCTGTCCTCCCCTCCTTCAGTAAGCGACTCTCCCAGCCAGCTGGAGGCCTTCTGGACTCTATCACTAATATCTTTGGGTAGGTTAGAACACTTTCACCTCTTTATTTTATATATTGGTTTCAATGTACACCAAGATCTTGGTGATGCAGGGAATACAAAGAAAGAATTTCAGCCTTTCTTCTAGCTTCTGCCTTTTTTTTTTCTTTTTTGTTCTCCTCAACTTCCTGTTTCTTCCATCTTGCCGTGTGCTGACCTCTGACCTTTCCCTCCAGTCTGTCTGAGTCTCCCCTTTTGGGACATCAATCTTCTGATGCTGCCAGGTGAAAACATTATCCACTCTTAGTCCAGCATGTGAATGTATTCCATTGAAGTAAGGTGGAACCCAGCTGCATTATCCTGAGTAGATCTCAGATGTTGGTAACACTGGCTAGAAACTGTCTATGGTTAGAGAGAGGCAATGAGCCCCTCTTAGTGGAGACAATTTGTGGGGTTTGCTCTTACTTTCCACTGCACTTTGCTCCTGTAATAGGGTTATTTCAAATAAGTCATTGGGTTCTGTGCTTAGTATGCAGAGTGGAGCCAGTCCTTCCAAGTGAAGGTCTGCCTTAAGGGGATGGTGTTCCCTGAAGTGGTGCAGCCCAAGCTTTTGGATGGAGCATTTTGCTGCCTGGGATGTAGTGCTGTGATGCTGTGGAGTCTCCCTAGACACACTGATGGAGTTGTAGGCTCTCCAGCTGAACTTGGCTGCAGTCATTCCCATGTTTCTCTTTCCTATTAAAAGAGCTTCAGACTTCTCCAAAAGGAGGTCAGAAATCAGTTCAGGTGATTTCTAGGAAACATCTAAAGCCACAAGTGTTAGATGACACATATAATGCTTGACAGATGGGATAAAAGAAGGTTTAAAACTGCTTCCCCCATTTTTAGTCACTGTACAGTGTAGTTAAGTGGCAGGCACAGATCTGGATGAGCTCAGGGGCAGCATTCTCTTCTCCTTTTAAAACATTTCTGCTTTGTTTCATCTCAGGAGGCGTTCTTTGTCCTCATACCCTGCTCCCCAGGATAACGTGGAGCCACATGCAGGTGCCAGTAAAGAAGTGAGAGTGCCCACTACTGCCATATGTGTCTTTGTAAGTACAGAAGGAGTTCTGTTCTACTCTTCCTTTCACTGTCTTCACACTGTCTGTGTGGGGACTGAGCTCCTGCAACTCTGTTAACATTGCCAAGCAAGGAGTTCTTGGTTTGGTAATATAGTTCATCCCACTTAATTCTTCCCAGATGCTTCTTGGAGCCCACGTGCTTGATGTCTGTGGTACTGAGGTCAATGATGACTAGTAAAAGGTCTGAGGGCACAGGGGAGTTACACTCCATTACCCTCTTGGCTCCCAGCAGTCCCTGTTCTGTCATGCCATAGTAGAGCTATGATTGAGGAAGAGACTGCTGACAGTTTGGGATTAATTCAGTGCCAGTTCTCCACAGTGAAGGGAGTTGTGGCACTGAATGTCATCCAACAGAGCTGGTTAAAAGGAGCTTGTGGTAGTGGGGTGTCTTCATTTGTTGTGTGTGATCTAAAGTTTTCAATCTGAGACCTCTTTTATACATTGTTCTGGCCTCACAAAAGGCCCAACTTAAATTTCTGTGAAGGCTGTTGCCTTCTGAATGAAAGATACTGGTGTCAATTGTCTTGTCATGCAGATACTTGTTCTAATGTTCCTCTGGAGTTCTGTCAGGCCCTCCAGTCCTGCATATGGATATTTCATGGATATGGAATGACATTTTTCATCCAGAGTGGCTCACTGCAGCATGGGGGCTCATGTATTCCTAGCCTGCCCTGTTAACATCTTCTCCAGTGGCTGTTTTGGGGTGGAGGGAGCAGCAGTGTTACCCTAAGGAAGAACAGGGTCATGACTGAAGTGGAAGCCTGGAGCTGGCCCAAATAGGGACCATCAGAGGAGGTCCCTCATGGCTTTGTTGTGTTGCAGCCTCTCTCCTCCTCTGGTCACATACAGCAACCACAGTTGATCAACAGATATAAATCCTGGCTAATTTCATCCTAAAAGTATTACAGAGTTCTTTGTGGAAGGTTTTCAAGAACCATGTGAGAGGTTGCATTGTTTTCACCTTTGTTTTGATCTTCCATCATGTCACCTGAACTTGCAAGAGCTGCACAGGCTCCTCCCTGGGTGGAGGGGCAAACCCCAGTAGGCTGTGCTGGCCCCTGGTCTTGGCACTGTGGGGAGTGCTGCCCCATCTTGCACAGCTTGGTGACTCCAGGGAGCAGGCTGGGCTCACTTTTGGAGAGCTGAGCAGGACAGGTTTGGGAAGGTGGAGGAGGTAGCCACTTCAGCCATCATTCCTGGGCATAGTTTCTAGGCAGGACCTTTGACCAGTGCTGTGCTGAATGGCAAATGTCCACTTGTAGAAAGATCAGATTTGAGGTATGATGACCCCTCAATATAAGCTTAGAATCATAGAATCATTTAGGCTGGCAGACCAAGTTTCAGAAGAATGAGTTTCCAAAAGTCCTGCTTTTGAAAGAGCAGTTACTGAAAATACTGAAAGGAATGCAGCAAATGAATTCAGAATGTGGTACTAAAACCATGTGGGTAAGTAGTATAAAGCTGTGAAAAGCACTAATACTGTGTGGGTAAGTAGTATAAAGCTGTGAAATTACTGGGGGAGGGAAAGAAAGGAATCTTAAAATTCTCATAGTTTTTAAAAGGTTAAGGATCAGTATTAAGTGGCCAACTTGAGCTTCCAAAGATGAAGCTGTGGGAAGGACAGTGCACCTGAAGGTAGGAACCACAGCTGGTGACTCTGGGAGAAGGTGCTGACAGCTCTGCTGGCACTGCCTAACCACCAGTACAGAGGACCATCATCACCAGTGTGCCCAGTGAATGCAGCTCATCTGTTCTGCTGTTTCCTGGCAGACTTTCCACACTCAGGCCTGACTTGAGTGTTGTGGTTGCATGAGCTGATGGGATCATGTTCCATGGATGGCCCTAGATGGAGAAATGCAAAGTTAGTTTCCTTCTACAGCATATCACCTGCTGCTGTTTTCTGTCCTTTCCTTAATCTTTTGTGGTGTAACTTAAAAGCCTTTACCTGACACAGCCTAATCTTACCAAGTGCTGTAAGGCTTTGGGCAGTTTCTTATCACTGTTGAGTCCTTGCTAGTGTTTTTCTTGGTTTTTATCTTTAGATAAGGATCAGTCATTTTGCTCTCTTTGTACACCACCAATCACAGCAGAGTTTCTGTGGCTTTTTTCCCCTCTATACCACTGAAAGATCTACAGCTGTGGTTCTGTGCAGCCTGGAAGTTGTGTAGCTTTCTGCTGTGTGAGGGGTTGGGACTGTGCTAATTGCCCTTGGGGTGGCTGTTGTGTTCTCCCCTGCCCAGGATGCCCACGATGGGGAGGTGAATGCTGTGCAGTTCAGCCCTGGCTCCCGTCTGCTGGCCACAGGAGGCATGGACAGGAGGGTTAAGCTCTGGGAAGTCTTGGGAGGTAAAGGATTTTTGCTTTGGGCTGTGGTGGGGTGCTGAAGAAACTCATGGGAGAGTTCTCTTTGTGTCAGCTCCTGTTCTAATCCATTGCTTGTGTTGTTTGTCTTTCTCTGTGCAGATAGGTGTGAGCCCAAAGGTGCCCTCTCTGGCAGTAATGCTGGGATTACAAGCATAGAATTTGATAGTGCTGTGAGTATCTGCAATATCTACTCATTGGGATTGGCAAGAAATAAATGATGATGTGCTCTGCTATCAATTTCCAGTCCAACACTTTGAAAAGTTGCCTAAGGAATCAGTTAAAATACTCATGAGTGTAACTGCAAATAGTTAAAAATCATACACAAGATTTTTACTGGATATGCTGTGGTCTGTAATTCTCATCTTTGCTCTCATCTAAATCTCATCTTTTTGCTTTACAATTTGGAAGATGGTACACAGCTCAGGCACTGGCTGCTGTCAGCTATCATGGTAAAATGACAATAAAATACAGTAGGCTTTGTCTAAAGTAAGAAATGACTTTAGACAAAGTAATTTCTAATCTTCAGCTTCCATCTAAAGCTGGCATAACAACACAAAAGAAGCAAATACACTGAGGCTTTATTATTTCTCTGAGTTTCTCTCCAGAAGTGCTCTGCTGGGGTCTGTGGTGCAGAGGAGAAGGTCTGAGTGTCCCAAGGCTTGCACCTCCCTGACCTGTTCTCCCAGCAGTTCCTCACAGTCGTGGCACAGCAGGGGTGTGCCTGGCAGAGTGTTTGCTGCCAGCTTGTCAGCTTTGGTCAGTTCATGGTAACTGAAGCACTGGAGGTGTGGCTGGGATCAGCATCCAACAGTCCTTACTTGAAGGAGTTTGTGGTCTTGGGCTGTTATGTGGTCTGACTTCTCCTGAGACCTCTTCCATAACACAATGCCTTACTGCATGGAGAGCAGAACAAAGCTGCCATCATTTCTTCAATTTGCCAATTCTGTGTGCTAAGACTTTATTGATCCACACCCTGAAGGGTCCTTCCTTTGGACACAGCTCTTTAGATGTTTGCTGGCACTCTTAATGTGCAGAGAAAGTAGTTCTGAGTTTGACAAGCTGCTTGAACACATCTGAGGTGAGATGCTGATGGGCTTCAAGGGTTCAGGAGTGCAAGCATGAATCTTGTGGTGTCCATTCCCCATCATGACTCAAGAGCCCTAAGCTTAAAGCCATGAACAAGTCTATCTTTGGACAGATTGACTTTTTGGAATCTTAGTTTAAGATGCTAGAATTGTAATGAAAATTTCCATAATTGGGCTAATTCCACTCTGAGGCCTAGCTAAGTTTGTTCTCTTGTCCCTTGGCAGCACAGCACTAACGTAGCTGTAATGATTTATTGGGAGTAATTCTGAGTTTCATTTGCACATTAACTAGGGGAAGTAGTTTGAAATTCCTCTTGTGTTCACAGGGTTCTTACCTCTTGGCAGCTTCAAATGACTTTGCCAGCAGAATCTGGACGGTGGATGACAATCGGTTGCGGGTGAGTCGAAGGCAGAGCAGTGCTCAGGCTGCTGCTCTCTCATTCCCAGCCCTAGCTGACAGGGACTTGGCAATTTTGGAAGCTGGTCTTTTACAGACTTTAATTCTTCTTTACTTCTTTTAAGGGTTTTCACAGCAGGACCTAAAATACAGCACTGCACAGCCTTGCAGGAAACTCGGTTACTGCCTGTTTTCACAGTACAGCCCCCCCTCAGCAGCAAAACCTTAGCATGTAAGCCTAATACACTTTGGAATCCTCTTCTGTGGAAAATTAAATGCTTCTTATGGTTTATGGAGAACCACTTCAATGTTTTAGCCTCAATCCAAAGAGAGGACTGCTGAAGAAGGATTTGCAGGAGATGGAGGGGTTTTTTTTAGCTGTTAAAGGCAGCAAGGCTAAAAGTGCTTAACTTTATTCTCAGCGTCTGTCAAAAGATTCCTCCTCTCCTCCCAACTCCTTTGTACTCACATTCTCCAACCCTTAGCTCTAGTTTAAAGAAGGATTCACCTTTGATGAACCAAAAGAAGAGTTTCTTTTCTGTTTTCTAAGAATTTTCTTTTTATTTTTTAATTCCTCAGCTTCTCATTTTAGGAAGATGCCACTTTGATGTTCTGAATCTTCTGACATTTCCTGTTGGTTAGAACCTACAGTTGTGTTGTAATTCACCCAGTAGTTCCCCTTTAGGAAAATGAAGAATATCAGCTCTTCTGCAGCTTCAGTTTGGGTGTAAAACCTAATATTCAATGTGAATTGTAGTGAATAAAATGTCAGCAGCCTATGCATTTAGTCATTACAAAGGGTTAGTTACCCTGCAAACACCCACCTGGCTTCACAGGATCTTCCTGCAATTTTTTGGTGTCCTTGATGACTGCCAGCTTTGGGCAAGTGTTTGCTGAGGTAGAATAGTGCATGGATGTGTAAAGGCTTGCACGTGAGCACTGAGCTGGAATCATGGTAAACTTTGGTACATAACACCCTACGTAAAACCTGAATTGTAGTGAATAAAAAGTCAGCAGCCTGTGCATTTAGTCATTTAACAAAGGGTTAGTTACCCTGCAAACACCCACCTGGCTTCACAGGATCTTCCTGTAATTTTTTGGTGACCTTGATGGTTGCCAGCTTTGGGCAAGTGTTTGCTGAGTTAAAATAGTGCATGGATGTGTAAAGGCTTGCACGTGAGCACTGAGCTGGAATCATGGTAAACTTTGGTACAAACACCCTACTTCAGTGCAAATGGCTGTGTTTAGTGACTGTGCAGCAAGAGCAGAAGAGAGATGTAGGGTGAAAAGTTAGATCCTCCCTTCTGGAGTTTGTGGCCTTTCTTAAGACAACATGATCCTTATAGTAAGCTTTGTTCTGCTAGAGTTTGTGTTGGATATCAGATTTTCTTTTTTCCAGACTTTGCTCCCATTCCTTTCCATTCTTAAGTGTTTTTCCTTTGTATTTCCCAAGCCCTGATTGCTTTGTGTTATTTGATAGTCCTTTGAGTATTTAAAAAAACTCTGACTTTATACCAAAGATTTCTCTCGTTTTTCACAACCCTTACTTCAGTCATTCATTATGTTTTGTCATTTAATATGTGAATATTCAGCAACTTGAAGTCAGGGTGGTTCATGTTCTTCTCAGCCCCACAGAGCCTCCCCCTGCAGTTACAGAAACTGCTCTGAAGTCTGTCATTGTCTCAGCTTCCAGGCTTGAAGACGTGACAACAATTGAGACTAGATACCCTGTTGTATCCTTGAGAGAAGCTCATTATGAAAAACCTGAAGGCATAAATTCCATTTTCAGCATGCTTCAACACCTTCTCCTCCTTGTTCCTGCGAGGCTGCCTTGCAGGTGGCCATCTCTCCATGAAATGTAGGTGTGTGGAGTGTTGAGGAGAGCTTGCAGGGTCCCTGAGTAGCTAGAGAAACTGCAGCCAAAGGTGACCTGTCTCCCAGCTGGACTCTGTGGCACCTAAAGATTAACCCTGGGTAGGAGTCTTAACTACAGGACATGGGGTTTTGTTTTCCAAGCAACGCAGCAGACATGCCAACTATGATTTAAGATTATCTTTGAATTGTTAAGCAGCAGAAGTAGTAAGCTAGGAGGAAAGGGAGGAAGTGGAACTGTGACTTGACCATGGGACTCTCTCCCCCTCAGCACACCCTGACAGGTCACAGTGGTAAGGTCCTGTCAGCCAAGTTCTTGCTGGACAACGCCCGCATTGTTTCGGGGAGCCACGACCGGACCCTCAAGCTCTGGGACCTCCGCAGCAAAGTCTGTAAGCAAGCCTGACTCCTGCCTTCCCTCCATGCCCTGGGCTTCTGCTGAGTGCAGCTGGGAGCCTGACATCAGGCAGATGTTTTCAGCTTCTTGCTAGGCTAAGAAAGTGAAAAATAGAAGCCATTCCTTCTTTTGTTACTCAAGTAACTGGATTCTTTTTGCCTGATACCTGATGGAAGAAATGTGCATGCAGGAAGCACTGCTAATGCTGTTACACCAACAGCAGCTGCAGTCTGAGAGTGTGCTTAGTGTTCTTCTTGTTTCCCAGTCTTGGGGGGTGGGTATTTTACTCTTCCTCTAAAAAAAATGGAGCCAGGTCAGAGTAAAATGGAGCCAGGTCAGAGTTTTTAAGCCTGAGGTGGATGAAGATGTCTTTTAGAAATGCACCCAAAAAAATGCAGCATCTCCAATGAAGAAAATGTTAGGATCCAGGCTTTTCTTTGGGAGAAACACCTTATTTCCTTGCCTTTTCTCTCATTGGTGGCTCTTAAACCTGTTTGCACTGCGAGAGAAGTTGAGATTCAAGGGTACCTTGATAACTGGACTGCAAACATAGGTCAAGGAGACAGTTTCACAAGCAAATTATAGCTGTCTAAATACAAAGTGGAAGTAAAGCAGCTGTCATGGGAGCATTTAAGGGATATTAGCCACAGCAAAGGAGATTGAGGAGGGCAGAGAGGTTGCTGAAGATTTAAGTCAGGATTATTCTGAGACAGAGTTTGTCTGCCTTGTGACACTCCTTGGACACTGCCCGTGTGGCCACTGTGTGTGTGTGTGATAGAGTGATGATTTTCTGTCTGTTTTCATCAGTTTATAAACTTCAGTTGTCACTGTTTTACCCTTTTCAGGTATAAAAACAGTGTTTGCAGGATCTAGCTGCAACGACATCGTGTGTACTGAGCAATGTGTAATGAGTGGCCACTTTGATAAGAAAATTCGTTTCTGGGACATCAGGTAAAATTGTTGTAAGAGAGCTCATAGGGTAGGAATGGTGATGGGATTGCTCTCTGAGTACACTCTGAACTAGGGAGCTCTTCTTCCTGAGCTTGGAAGCTGTTGAGACTTAAAACTGTTTCAAAAGGGCATTGTAAGAGAATTTTGGTAGTATTTTTATACTGCTTGGTGGTTTGGGGTTGGGATTTTCTTTTGGAAAGGCAGTCTGCTCTCTTGTAAATATTTTGCATTGGTCAGCACTTGCCATTCTGGATGTTATTAACTTTTTCAGAGGGTGGGGTTGTGAGGAAAGTGGCATCTATTGGTTGAAAAAGTTATCCACAAAATGAGAGCTAGCCTGGGAAAGAAACAAAATGTGAGAATAACGCAGTAATCTTTTTTTCTTCTCTTCCACACTGGGACAAGTCAATGTTTGGGTGCTGTATTTTGGCTTCTGACCCTGGTTTACATTTTTTTTAACATTTTTTTTTGTCCTTAGGACAGAGAGCATAGTAAAAGAGCTGGAGCTGCTTGGAAGAATCACAGCTCTGGACCTGAACTCGGAGCGCACGGTTTTTTCTTATCATCTTCCACGCTGGGACAAGTCAATGTTTGGATGCTGTAGTTTGGCTTCTGACCCTGGTTTACATTTTTTTAACATTTTTTTTGTCCTTAGGACAGAGAGCATAGTAAAAGAGCTGGAGCTGCTTGGAAGAATCACAGCTCTGGACCTGAACTCGGAGCGCACGGAACTCCTGACCTGCTCCCGTGACGACCTCCTGAAGATCATTGATCTGCGGGTGGGTGCTGTCAAGCAGACCTTCAGGTGAGTGTTCTCCACTGGAACACAACTTCAGACTTGTGGATTGTGGGTTGCCCTCCATGCTGGAGTGTTTTTTCAGCATCTGCATGGAGAGAGCACTCCTAACTTTTTTTCTACATAGGTAGCGAAGTTCTCTAGAGTCTACCAGCAAAGATCTGCTCTGGTGGATCTTATTTAGCTCTTTAAAGCAGATGGCTTGGCTTTAGAAGCCTTTGGCCTAAATGAAGGAATTTCTTCAGGTGCAGTTGGGTGGAGGGTGTGTGAGAAATGCAAATTGGAATAAGCTCCAGTATCCCTTTATTCCAAACCATGTAGAAATCCTTACCATGCTCTTCAGTGAGAACCTGGAAGTCAATCTTATAAATGTATTCACAGTTATCTGATTCTAACTTTTCAGTGCCCAGGGATTCAAATGTGGCTCTGACTGGACAAGAGTTGTGTTCAGGTAAGGACAGATAAGATACCTGATGAATCTCTCCACAGAAGGTGAGTGATTCCTGATGCTTGGCTGCACTGTCCCCATTACAGCTAGAAAATCTGGGGCAGAGTTTGTGATTTGTCCAAGGTTACCTCTTGGTCAAGACAGGGTGTGTCTGTAGGTGTTGATCCACTATCTTGGAAACTTCCCAATTTCAAAGTGCTTTCACCTCTTAGTGTTAGCAGCTGGTAACAAACAACTCTCAGAGACTATTTAATGCCAAGCTGCTTGCTTAGGAACCTGTGGGTGGAATGATGTGTGGAGATAAATTGCTGACTTGAGAATTCTCTGCCTTTTGCACCTTCTCTGATCTCCTAGCCCTGATGGTAACTATGTGGCTGCTGGTTCAGCTGATGGGGCCCTCTACATTTGGAATGTGCTCACTGGGAAGTTGGAGAGGACACTTGCAAAGCATCACAGGTGAGGGGGAGCTGGCCCTGTAATCTGAAGTGGGGGTCTGGGTTGTGAATCTTGCAGAGCTGTGCAAGAATTCTATTCTTACAGCTTTGTAACTTGTATTAACATGTGAGAATTTTTGATATGCATATTCTTTATGAATTCATGGCAGTATTGTCCAGATTGAATTAAGGTTAGGTTTGTTGTTGTTTAACTTCTTAAACTGAGGTATGGTTCTGATAAAGTCCATCTAATAACATTCTGAAGAAACTGTATCTCTGTTAGTCTTATTAAAAGTGTCTTGAGAGCTGAGGAAGTCTTTTTTTTAATTTTATTTTTCCCTATAGTCAGAGTACTATTGTATTTCATTGAGTTTTCAGGGGAAATCAGCTTCTTTTTAACCTTATTCCTGGCTTCCCTTGCAGTTCTTCTATCAATGCCGTGGCGTGGTCGCCAGCGGGTGCCCACGTGGTCAGTGTGGACAAAGGAAACAAGGCTGTCCTGTGGTCTGAGTTCTGACTGGATGGAGGGTGGAAGGCAGAGCATGCAGCACCTCTGTGTGTGGTGGTGCTGCTCCATGGCTGAACAGGAGACCTGAGCCCAGTCCAACCTGAGCTGGGCTGTTGAGTGCTTGGGCTTCGCTTCCCAGAGGCAAGTTCTGAGGCAATGGAGGAGGAGCCCGAGGCAGAGACTTCTTGTGGCCATCACTGCACTGTGGGACTTGGCAGGGGACTGGCTGTGCTGGGTGGAGGATGCTCCTCAGCCATGCCTTTATGTGCAGTGTCTATGCACCAAGTGGGGCTGAAGATACTGGCAGGATTCCTCACCAGACAGCTGTGCCAAACGCCCTGTCACACAGACCTATCTACAGCACTTCCAAGCTGGAAATGTTGGAAAGAAGTCACTGTGTATGCTGACATAACACATGTCCTGTCTCCTCTGTTCTGTTCTCGTGGCCTGGTTCAGGCATGGTGTGAGAAGATCCTGGAATGTGGACAGGTCCTAGGCAGTCTGGAGTGTTGGAACAGCTTTTGGAGAGAGTCTTCCATGGCTCTGGCAGCTCTGCCTTGGAGTTACCAGCTCAGTTCAGATCTGCTGAGATCCTGATGCAGGTTCTCCAGCCCTGTCCTGTGAACTCGTAGCAGTTTCACCTGTTCATAAGGCCAGGGCCCATTTGTCAGGGCTGCTGCCCCCTCTTCTTAACATGCCCTTCAACAGCTTGGGTGCCACAAAATAGGAGATGAAAATCTTTTTATTGCACGGGCAGTTTGGTTGTGGGGTGTGAGGAGAGAGAAGTTCCACTTCTGTGGTGCTGCTGTGCTAAGGAATGTAGCCCTGCTGTGACTTCAGTCCCAGAGTAGAGAAGTCTGGTCCCTTTTTCTGTTCATCCGTCCTGTCCTGGCAGCTGTCAGTGGAACCCAGGGGAGCAGCAGAGTGAAATCCCAAATCCATTGTTTTGGTGCTGGCAATTCCAGGCCACTTGCCCCCTCCTTGAGCACACGTGCAATATTCCTGTTTCTGCTGGAGAGCCCTCTGTGCTATGGGGCAGTGTCTGGGCTCTGTCCCTCCTGAAGCATCCAAACCCAGGGGTGTGGCTGAGTGTGAGCCACCTGGCACAACTCCAGCCAGACCTGTCCACGTTGTCTGGGCCCCAGGACAAGCCACCAGCGTTTTATTGCCTTTTTATTTGCACTTTATTTTCTTCTTTCCCCATAAAGTTTTCCTTTGGAGGCGTGTTTCTTTGGAGGGGCTGGATTAGGGGGCAGCTGCTGTGACAGGCATCTCTCTAACCTAGCCATTTGTTCAGACACTTTCTGCAGAGGGGAATTAAGAGTACACGGGGCAAAGTTTTTATTTATTCAGCTGCCCATAAGAACTTGATTGTAAATAAACCTGTGTTCTGCTTTTAAAACCCCACAATGCTCAAGATTCATTTACTCACGTGCCTGTGTGTGAGATCTCCTTCAGCACGAGCAGAGCAAGGAGCCTGGAGTGGGTTTTTTTCTGTGCTGTGTTTTCCTGGTGAATTGTGGATTTGTGTCCAGCTGCACTGTGGGATTTGGTGGAGAGTGGGGAAGGAGGATAATGCTCTTAGCCTGAAGCTGGACATCCTCCAGGTACAACCTCCTGCCCTGGCTCTGGAATGTTGCCTTACCATATTGAACGAGTGCATCTGTCCTTGAAAGGTTGGTGGTTTGGAGAAATGACTGAATTGAGGAAATCAGTTGTCTGTGTTGCAGACACTGCTGAAAATAGGTGGCTTTGCTGTGATACTTGGACTGCTACCTTAAGTTTTTAAGCCAATAATAGGAGTTGCACATTTCTTTAAAAACATGAAAACACTTGTGAAGATAATGCTCTGGTTCATACTTCAGAGTAATGAGGTGAAGCCTTCAGCTGCTCACTATAAACATTTCATACATTGCTGACCACCCTCCTGTTTTTGTGAGAGCAGAAGCCTGTCCAGCTCTTGGATGTGACTGTAGCAAAAATCAGAAGATTCACATTGGTGTTTCTGAAGCATTTCTAAAGATAAAGTATTTTTAATTTTGCCTGTTGCTGTGCCAGAAGGTCCTTCTTGAAGAGGCACCTACCAAGAGTCCAGGTGACCTTGGTTAGTGCAGAGAAGCAGCTCACTAAATAACAAGTCAGCATGATGAAAGATTATTGGGAGATTAATGCAATAAAAACTGCAGGCTCTGATGAGGAGGATCAGGACAGGTTTAGGACATGTATAATTCAGGCTGCTATACTGGTGTGTTTCTACAAGGTGGACACAGGGCTTACACAAAGGGCTTTGTTCTGTCTGTTGGTGCTGTTACAAAGAAGGTGCCTAATACTCAAGGATAATGGCTGGCTAGCTAAGACCTTAAGCATTTTGGATTAAAATTCCATAGGACCAAGCTATGTAGGAAATTCTAGTGACCCATTTTAGCTTTTTTTTTAGCTCTATGGCCTCATCTTCTGCTTCAACTTGCAGAGGGAAGGAGAGAAAATGAAGGTCCCTGCTCTGCAGAGGTGGCTGTTGCACCGTTTCTCTGCAAAAGGTGGAGCTGCCTTCAAGTGGGTTGGGAAGAGGGGGTGGGGTGGGCTCGGGCCTTTCTCCAGACATAAGGAAGTGCATCAGGAAGCACGTGTTGTGGAGAAGCTGCTCCCAAGCTCCCCTCAAAACTTGCAGTAATGTGTGTTCCTACCACGTCCTGGGTCCCCAGGGGAGTAGCAAGTGTAACAAGAGTGCTCCTTCCTCTCCTGGAGGATTCACAGTGCCAGCAGCAAAAACTTAAACCCAACTTTCTCCTATTTGTTTTTTTTTGCACCATCTGGCTGAATAGAACACATGGATTTTGGAGGTTAATTTCTGGGGTCTCTTCCCTACTTCCTACAACCAGCATCTGGCTTTTCTTCAGCACAGGCATGTGTGAATTTCTGTGGTTTAGAGCTGGCTGGTTTATGTTTGCTAGAGTGGATTAAACAGGGTGGTGATTAAGCTCTCCAAATAATCCACCTCCAGTTAAATGTTGCTGGAATTTGGATAACTCTGAAGGAGCTGATGAACACGGGTTCTGTGCTCATTTTTTGGCATCATTTGTGTACCCAGGCAAATGTTGGTGGCTGTTTGCAAAAAGCAAGCTTGATTTGTGCCTGCAAGTCTGCCTGTGATGGAGGGTGCTGTTGGGGCTGGCAAGTGGAGAGGATATCATGTGATCTTGCTAATCAAACTAGCAGATGCAGGCCAGAAGAAAGCTACAGCTGTTTATGCAGTTTGCAAGCCAAAAATTACACATTGTTGTGCCTAATTGCAAGACCAAACTCCTGGGGCCAGGGTGGGGGGGAAGCTATTCTTGGGACATTCATGAACAGAACTGATTGAAACCTCTTATTCCTGTGTCTTACATCTCAGATGTTGTGCCTCACACCATAAGTAAATTAAGGGGGGCAGATGTACCAGCTAGCAACATATTGTTTTGCATCAGAGTGCCAATGGCTTGTTGGAGCAATAATAAACTGCTTAGTGATTATGAGAAGAATACATTGTTCTCAGTGTTTGGTGGTTCTTCATAATGGCATCTATTTATAGAGACTGGCTTTGGGGGTTTATAAACTCCCTTTTTCATGGATGGCTCTTGTCTGTTCAGCTTGTTGCCAGGCTGCAGCCTCAAAGAAGGTGAAGAAAGCTTTAGAATAAAGCTGCTTTCAGCAGCCCTCCTGTTCTAGGTAAGTCTGTAGCCCTCCCAAAGCATCTTGGTATGACATTGTAGACCTTTTCATTGAGGATCTGAGCTTCCTTAGCTAATGCTTTATGTTGCTGACTTAACCACTTTCCAGTTGAATCTTAGCCCAGGTACAATATTTGCTCTTGGAGGGGGATTAATTCTTGAAATCCTGGATGGACGCAACTCGGGCCGAGCTTTCAAATCCCCTACAAATTGTCTTGCTGCTTTGCTAAGGGGTTAGTGATTCCCTCCAGCAGATGTGAAGAAGCACAGGAGACAGCTGCGTGGAAAATTCATCTTTCTTCAGTAGCTTAGGAGTTCAAGTCTGTCTCCTGGCAGCTCCTGTGGCATTCGGAACACAGAAAGGTATTTAATGTTATTTGCTCATTTATTTCTGTGCCTACAGCTTGAGTAGGATGTCTGTTCAGCCACAAAGACTATTCTGGACTTGGAAAACCCACCTATGCTTCCTGAAAATAGAAAAAGGTGTAGAGTCTGTCTCTAATCTCTACCTTACATTTTTTCCAGCTTTCTTAGAAGGGAAGTATTTCCTTTTTCTACATGTTGTTGTGTGCAAATAGGCCCTAGAAACTGATTCTGTTCTTGAAATGTTTTTAAAATGGGAAAGCAAGCAGAAAAATAGAATGGAAGCACCCTGCAAGGATGTTCATACAGTCAGACCAACCATCTAACATTGTACTCATTCACACAGGTCCACCAGGGAGAAGAATAGGGCACGTGTAGCATCATCCTTTCCTGATGCTGCTCCTCAGCTTCAGAACCTTACAGGGTTAAGGTTGCCCCTGGCTGATCCTGTCCAACATGTACCAGGAGCCTTTTCCCTGTGAAGGTGTCCAATCCTGTGAATCAGTTCCTCTTGGTGATATCCAGAGCCTCCTACTGCAACACTCTGTAGTCTGGAGTCTCATGTGATGTGGGGAGGTGCTTCACTTCATTTTGAACTTGCTGGTTGGTCACCTAACTGGATGCTGCTGTTTTATACCTTATGACAAAGTGAAAAACTAACCTCTCTCCACTTTGTACCTCTCAGGTTTTCTGGACATCACTCCCTGGATGTCCCTTGTGTCCTTCTGATCCTTTTTTTCCTTTCCAACCCCCCCCAAAAAAAAAAAATCTTATTCTGTTTTTATTTTGGGTACAAGCCATTCCCTATCCCTGGCTGTACTTGTTCCTCTTCTTGGGCAGGTAGCTGGACTGTTATATTCTCAAGATCCATTCTGGTTTGAGTTCTGTGATACCCTATGAATAATGGGTTGTATTTGCTTCTAATTTAGGGAAATAGAGTAGGACAGGTGAGTTTTCACTCTGGGTTTAATCTGATTCCATACCCATAGGTGCCACCTTGCTAGGTCTCAGACTGAGCATCCTGTACCCAAGATGTGGGTCTGTCAGGGGTCTGAGGTGGTGTCAATGGTTAGGTATTCACTCCTTAACTGGGCTTCTTTCATTTCATTTCACTCAAGGATA